GCACCCCCCTGGGGGAGGTAATGAGACAGCCTGCCACTGAGTTCATACTGGAGACCTGGTCCCTGAGACCTGATAGGCTAGCATCAAAAAGAAGGGGAGGAGGACCTCCCCTATCAGTGGACTAGGGGAGGGGCATGGAGAAGATGAGGGAGGGAGGGGGCCACAGCCAGGATACAAATTGAATAAACTGTAATAAATGATAATAATAGAAAAGGAAAATAATGATTTGTAGCACAATACTATACTTTGAAACATACTTTTTTTTTTTGGTCTCTCAAGTGTTGTTTTTATTTGTGTTTTTTGTTTTGTTTATCTCTAGACATTAGTGGGGTTTTTGTTTCATTTACATTTGTTTTGTAATATTGAGACTCAAACCCAGGTTCTCATTTTTACAGGCAAGTCCTTCCCTGTCAAACTACACCTAAGTCAGTGGCATTCTTAGTTATACTGTGCAAAACATGTTCTTCCCTTAATGGAACAGTAGTAGCAAATCATGGACTGAGACCTATGGGGGGGGGGTGGTTCTCATAAACAATAGAGAAAAAAATAAAAGCCAGGAACCTGGATCCCTGAGCCCAAACCTTGAAACCTGAACCTTGTAACTTATAGACTGTGCTACCACCTGACTGGCTCTTCTGTTCAGGCTGTCTTGGTTTGAGTTCATATTTTTCTCAATAACCCATAGTTCTCAGTGTCTCCAAGTTTCCCTGAGTTTAAAATATTCAGTATATCCAAATGGTTTCATTATAAAACCTTCAGTTTTCTAGAGTTTTTTTCAGCTAGCATTTCAGTACTTTGCTTGTATTCATCTTCTTAAAAAAATTATGGCATGCTTACCATTAATACATTTTTGCTGCTTCACAGGTATAGAGTAGTATGAAATAAGCAAGATAGCTGTTTTTTAAGCTAAATCCTAGTTGGGCTCACAGTTCAAGGGTGTATTCATCATGGAGAAGGCATGGCAGCGGGAGTTTGAGGAGTCATTTGCATTCAGGCAGCAAAGAGCCATGGATGCTGAGTCCCAGATGGCTTCTCTCTTTTACTCAGTTAAGGACCCCAGCCCATGGAGTAGCACTTCCTATAGGTAAGGTGGCTCTTCCCTCCTCAATTAATCTAATCTAGATAGTCACTCACAGGCAACTTAGTTCCTTTCTTCTTGTGCTAAAACATCCTGACCAAAGCAACTTAAGGAGCAAAGTGTTTACTCTAGCTCACAGTTGAGGCAGGAGTCACACATTATGTTCGCAGTCAGAAGAGGGGACAGTGAATACATGTGTGTGCTCAGCTCACCTTTTCCCTCTTTATATAGTCCTGGATGCCTTACCCAGAGAAATGGTGCCACCCACAGTGGCAGTCAAGACAGCCCCTCACACACATTCTCAGAGACACTTCTTTCAAGCAGCTCCAAGGGGACAGCACTATCACCTGCTGCATCCTAAACATGACGCTGTCCTGAAATTGCCTCTGCCAACAAACTAGTCCATTGCTTTTGATTTTGCCCTCACTCAGGTTTTCAGGATGTGAGAAATTGCTTTTTGAAATAACAAAAACAAAGCCCCTTTTCCTGTCTGAAGCCTCTCAAGTGAGTGAAGTCTGTAGTGCCTGAAGTCTGCATTTCCTTTGATATTCTCATCCGATCTGGTCTGACAGCATTCTCAAACTGAGTTCCTTCCAGGAGTGACTTCCAAAGACTCAAAGATCACATGATCAAACCCCTTACAAGAACCCTGCTTCTCCTGAACCAACTTCCTGTATGGCTTTTCCTATTGCTCTAAGAGAGTACTGGACAGAACATCTTATGAGAGCAAAGGCTTGTTTGAACCCATCGTTTTAGAGAGTTCAGCCTACGTAGAGGGCATGGCATGGTAGTTGGGCAGCCCTGTCTGTCAGGCCGGTAGTGCAAGGCAGCTGTCCACATGTGGCAGATAGGAAATAGAAAAGCCAGGCAGACTTCAAAGGCCTACCCCTAGTGTCTTACTTCTGCCAGCTGGGCCCCACCTCTGAAAGTATCTACTTCCTACAAAATAGTTCTATAAGGTGGAGCCTGATTTCTTACAACATGAGCCTCTGGGGGAGTGTTTTTTTAATTACTGTGTCCCCAGGACCAGTGTTTAGTACGTAGCCTATAGTAAGATATTACTAAACAAACAAAGAAAATGGCAGCTTAAAGGGTACAGGGGGAGGAAGGAATTTGGAGTGAACTATTATGGCATTTTGATTTCTAGGCAAGGGATAAAAATTAAATCATTAGTCAGTTTTTTGCCATTAAAAGGTTTGAACAGAAAAGTGAAAGCAAAACCATGCAGCTTAAAGGATGAATTTGTACTGATGCATTAGGTTAATTCTGAAAACATCAAGAGCCAGACAGGTTGCTCAGTTGGTTAGTGCCTGGCACACAAGTATGGAGACTCAGATCAGATCTCCAGCACCCATATCAAAAGCCAGGTGTGGTGGTCAGACTATAATTTCAGTGCTGGGGAAACAGAGACAGGAGGACGCCTGGGTTTCCTGGCCAGCCACTCCAGGTGAGTTAGAGACACTATCTCCAAACCTGAAGTGGAGAATGATTGAGGAGGATACCCAGCAACCACCACAGGCTTCTGTGTGTATGTCCCATATGCACCAACGTATGTCAGTGCTCCTTGCCCTCCCAACCCCCAGCCCCAGCCCAGCATTCCATAACATTGCCAAATGTGCCCTTTGGAAATAGTTTGACTCACAAGGAACTGTTAAAATAGTTAAATGAATTGCAACAAGAACACCCTCAGATGCAGAGACCTACACCCAAACATTAGATGGAACTCAGGAACCCCAAGGAAGAGGGGGAGGAAGGATTGTAGGAACCAGAGAAGGAGAGGATATAAGCAGAACATGGGCCACAGAATCAACTTACCAAGGTTCATAGAGACTCACAGAGACTGAAGCAGCAACTACAGAGCCTGCAGGGGTCTGCCCTAGGTCCTCTACATATATATTGTGGTTGTTTAGGTTAGGGTTTTTGTGGGACTCCTAACAGGGGAAATGGGGGCTGTCTCAGACTCTTTTGCCTGCTCGTGGGACCCTAGTCTTTTATTGGGTTGCATTGATATGAGGTTTTATGTATCTTTTTATGCTATGTTTGGTTGAGGCCTGCTCTTTTCTGAAGGGAAATGGAGAAGGAGATCTGGGAGAAAGAGAAAGTCAGAGGGGAGGTTAGAGAGAAAGAAAGGAAAGGGAAAAAAAGAAAGAAAAGAAAGAAAAAGAAAGAGAAAGGAAGGAAGAAAGGAAGAAAAAGAAAAAAGAAAGAAAGAAGGAAAGAAAGACAGGCGTAGTGTGCACGCCTGTAATCCCAGCACTGTGAGAGGAAGAGCAGGTGGATCTCTGTGAGTCTGAGGCCAGCCTGGTCTACAAAGTGAATCCAGGACAGCCACGGCTACACAGAGAAACCCTGTCTCAAAAAATAAATAACTTAAGTACAGTTTTACATATAAGAAATAATTTTAGTGTCATACTGCTAACCCAGGGACAGGTCTCAGAGAAATATAATCAAGGTCTACATGTTCCTTTTTTTTTTTTTTTTCCTTTTTAGCGGTGTTCTGTGTAGTCTTGAGAATAAGCTGTAACAATAGGTTCAGTTGTGAATGAGTGAGTTTGCTAACTACACACACGCTAGAACAAATGAGTAAACAGTTACAGTGATGACCACCATCACTCACCAGTGCTCAGAACACCCCTCAGAAAGCCAGTGTTGTGCTTTGTGCCATGGCTGAACTGGATGTGGCGGAGTTCCCGGCTTTTCCATCTCACCGTAGGCCTTGCTAGACCATGAACAGAGGCTCTGTTGGCATGGGTCACCTAGCTGTTCCCTAGAAGGGGTGCAGTGCCCTTACCCTTGGGCTGTTTGCTGTTCTCTTCCTTCCCTGTCAGATTTGATGTGGGGGGTGATGAGCCTCTCCCAGACAAGGAACCTTGGAGGAAACTTTGAGACCAACATTTGTGGATCTAAATGCAAATGTGCGACCCCGTGTCCTAAGCTTGCTTCCCAGAGAGTTCAAATTTTTATCAAAAATGTTATTTAATATTGCTACATCACTTATGGGTTTACTTTGGGGGCAAGTATTTAACACCACTTTTATTGCCCACCATCTACAAATTAATAAGTGAATAACCTGCTTTTTCTGCACTGGTGTTTCTGGCAGCAGGTTAAAGAATTTTATTATTTTTTTCCTTTCTACACTAGAGATGTTTTTAAATTGTTTTTTCACAAGTGTTAAAATATATAATTTAGTAATTTTTAGTTTCTTATCTCATTTTAAACCTAGCATATTACATTATTTCTATTGAGAGAATATTTTCTGTTTTTATGATAACAAAATAATTTCATAAAACTTAATAGAGTACTAAAGCTTTTTTCCTTTGTCTACTCAAGCAGTAACTTATTAATAATTTCAAAATTGGTAGAAGGGTGTCGGTGGAAAGGAGGTTATTACTTAATCCTTCACAGTTCTTTAAAGTTTTTCTAACTTCTAAGCATAGTCTGCTAGTATTTTGCTTGTTTGTTTTTTGTGTTTTGTTTCTTTGAGACAGGGTTTCTCTGTGTAGCTTTGGCTGGCCTGGATTTGCACTGTAGACCAGGCTCTTCTTGAACTTGTAAGACCCGCCTGCCTGACCCGCCCGCCTCTGCCGCCTGCGTTCTGGAGTTGCAGGGGTGCGCCAGTGTACCCAACTGCCAGTCTTATTACAGTAAAATATCACTTTACCAGTTTTCATATATCATCGGACATACACAACTTGAAGTGACTTTCAGACTTATTTAAAGGAAGTGTGAAATTTAAAATCATGTAGTTCAATTCCTGCAGCTGTGCTAAAATCTGTATGTGCTGCACGTACTATTGTTTTCTGTGTTACTGGTTTCTGAGGTGCAGTTGATGGTCTTTAATAGATTCTGAATTGAAAAGCTGTCAGGTGCATGACAGCTGAAACCAAGGTCTGCCTTAATATACTTGGCACATTTCTTACAGGTTCTGAGCTCTGTCCGCACAGAATGGAATCCTCTGGATGTTTACTTTGGCACCAAACAACCTTATCAGGTGTTCACAGTGGAGAGCTCCGTCAGCGCAGACAAGGAGCCCATGGCTGACAGCTATACCTATGAATGTGTCCGGAACCAGCTCCATTGCACATCAGTTACCAGAATACCACTAAGATCGAAGGCCATCAGCTGTTGCAGGACTTCTGCTGAGGACAAGCTGATTGTGGGCTGTGAAGACTCTTCAGTGATTCTCTATGAAGCCCACCGTGGGGTGACTCTCCTGGCCCAGGCTGAACTTTTGCCTTCATTAATAAGCTGCCACCCAAGTGGTGCCATTCTGCTGGTTGGCAGCAGCCAAGGGGAGCTGCAAATCTTTGACCTTGCTCTATCCCCTATTAGCATCCAGCTCTTGGCTGAAGATCGCTTACCCATGAAGACTCTGCAATTCAGTAAATTCTTTGATGTCTCAAGCAGTCTCGTTCACATGCAGTGGATAGCTCCCCCCGTTATTTCCCAGAAGCCTGAAGGAGGAGAAATCTGTGACCTCCTCTTCCTCAGGTTCAGCAGAGGGCCTTTGGGTGTGCTGTTGTTTAAACTTGGTAAGTCAAGTAGACTGGTAGGTACCTCATCTATGTTGATGACATGCCTAAGGCATCCACCTATTTTTCAAATGTAGGTTTTCAGCTTGTCATCCCATAAATATGTCTACTTTTCAATGCTTGCCTATAAGTTCCTTGAAAACACTTGGTGGTTTTCTTTCTTTCTTTCTTTCTTTCTTTCTTTCTTTCTTTCTTTCTTTCTTTCCTTCCTTCCTTCCTTCCTTCCTTCCTTCCTTCCTTCTTTCTTCTTTCTTTCCTTTTTCTTTTGTTTTTTCAGTCAGGGTTTCTCTGTGTAACCTTCACTATCTTGGACTTGCTTTGTAGACCAGGCTGGCCTTGAACTCACAGCAATCTGTCTGCCTCTGCCTCCCTGAGTGCTGGGATTAAAGGTGTACACCAACATGGCCAGCTTGCAGATGGTTTTCTAACTAGAAAAGAAATATTGAATACTTTGGAAATTGTGCTAGTTGTCCATAGTGATGGCTAAAAAGTATGAACTTTCAGAGCTGGAGAGCTGGCTCACTGGTTAAGAGTATTTTCTTCTCTTTCAGAGGACCTGGGTTCAGTTCCTAGCATCCACATGGTGGCTCACAACTGCCTGTAACTCCAGTTTCAGGGGATATGATGCCCTCTTCTGGACTCTGCAAGCATTGCAACATGTGATACATATAAACTCATGTATACACGCGCACACGCGCACACGCGCACACACACGCACACACACACACACAATTCTTTTAATCTGAACTTTTATTTCTAATGTTTTCTGAAATAAAGTATCTAAAATATTTCCTAAGAAATAGGTAGATAAAAATTTAAAAATTAATTTGTGGGTTCATTGTGAAAATCTGTGTTATAGAATGTAATACTTTTCTATAAAAATTATTTTAGATTATCCATGTCTGTTGTTGTGCAGGAATTGTATAGAGAAAATGCTTAAAATGAAGTCAGATATTTAGTTAAAATTTACTAACTTTGTGGTCTTTATTTTTTTTTTCCTTTTCGATAGAAATCTCTAAAGGCCTTTCTTGGTGTTTATAAATTATAAGGTAATACAGCTCATTTAAAGTAGGGAATCTTAAAGTGAAATATCATTTCCGTGAGCATTAGCCTTTTTTAGCTTTGGATTACCAGGTACATACTAAAAGAACAAGAACTACTTTAGGTAGTTGTGTATCATGTAACATTCTTTGAGGGACTTAGAGTTTAAGAAAAAAAATTTTTTTTTTTAATTAACACAAGTTATGTACTTGAAAAGATAGAAAAACACATTTGAAAACCTTACAGGATTTGCGGTGTGTGCAGAGTTAGCTTTTACAGACATCACAGTGTGTGTCAAGCAGCAACCTCTCTCCCTGTTTTCCCGTGGTCTCCGTGCCTCCAAACTGAAGGGACAGTCTAGTGAAATGACTGATGAGCCTGAGGGACAGAGTGCATGTCACGACGCCTGTGTTCCTTCTACAGTAGAGATGCTGCTGAGTGTTCATAACGTTAAAATTGTTCAGAGATGTTTGCAATCTCTGTTAATATGAGAGAATCCAGTTAGACTTTGCCCAGCTACATTTTAACAGTTGTATGTCTTCATACACAACACTAATTAAAGTGGATGTTTGATGTTTTCCATGTCTGTTAAAACATACACAGTCTCAGTCTCTCTCTCATCCACCTTTTCTTTTTCTTCTTTTCCCTTCACTCCTTTAAATTACTCAGTTACCTGTCAAACAGAGCGCTATGTGTCTGTGGTCCCTTCCACCCAGCCAGTGGGCCTCCTCACAACAGCTTTGCAAAAAGCACAGTTTTGTCTTCCTATCTCTAGCACATTTTCCTTCTTACTAAAGTAAACAGGCTCTCAGTGTAGGGATTTAGAGGGCTTCCTGCTAATTGCCAGCTTGTAAACTTAATTGGACTGTCTCCCTGGGCACTGTTCCTAAATCAATTAGGCAGTGAGTTGGCTGTCACCTCTTTTCCCAAGAAGGTCTCTTGGAATAGAATTATCCAATAGAAGTCAAGCGCGCAGAGAGAAAGGTGGGAACTTATGCAGCTGACATTTATTCTCATTGAGGTTTGCAGGACGGGGGCTGCACAGCCTCCAGTGCAGCTTGTTGAAAGCGCTAAGTGTGGGATAGCAAAGGATTTGTTTTAAAGCTTTGTGTCCCATTTTTAATGTATTATGAAATTAATATTTATATAAAATTTTTTTCTTGGGAGTAGATTACTTGAAATAGTAGATTCCAACTAGCATTTAAAAAAAAAAAAAGAAAACCTAGTTTTAAAGAACAGATTTTTCTTATGATCTGCTACTAAATACATCCAAAAATTAATATACTTCTTGAATTAACACAGAGCTGATTCTGGGCATCCATGTGGCATTTTCATGTATAATTCAAGTTACTGCATATGTAAACAGGTAGTTGCATGTGCAACTCTCCCAAGAGAGAGCTTTATGAGACTCTCTTTTCAGATGCTTGTTATGCAAGCTTTTGGAAAATTTGACATGAAAGGTGTAGCTTACAGTTTAAAATTGTAAAGACAAAGCATAGATCATAGTCTAAGATAGAATGCTGTCAATGTAAACGTGGCAGCGGCAAATGCCAATATGTTAACATTTTTGGAGTTTCACTGTAGAGCAGGTCAGTTAGTGTAATGTTGTAGGAAACCCTTAAGAATGAATGTTCCATTCTTATTCCTTTCAGTGGTCACACAAACATGTTGGGTATAAAAAAGACATCTCTGTTGCAAGAAGACTTCCAGATACATGCTTTCCTAGGGAAGCATAGAAATGTCCTGCTCCCAATGGGGATGCCAGTAAGTATTGTGACCTATGAAGAGTACATACACTATTCAGAGCGCCTTATGGAATGCTCATCCCAAGTCTCCATATACATAGACTGAGGCTAGTTTTGAGAGGATCCTTGGTTATTGTACTGAGATTGTAAAACTCATCCACTCTAACCACAGCCTTTTCCAGCCCTCTTTGCTTTTTAAGTTCATTAATCTAACACCATCATCTTTTCTCTTAACCCAGGATCTCACCTAGTAATTAGCACTTCATCAGATTTACCAGCTCTTTAGCCCCTCCTCCCCCATTCCACCACTTCTCTATGTGAAGGCTAGGACACCTAGCCCTAGGCTGGTCTTGCCACCACTGTCACTGTGACACCTTTGCTTTGTTATCCTTCCCACCTGCCGTGAATCTTGGTACATAAGTGGGTAAGCAGGCCCAGACCACCTCATCAGAAGCAGATCTTCCTTGTCATTCTTTTTCTTCTGATCAAGAGTTCCATCGTCATAGTCACTGATGTGAGAGGGAACACTGATTTTTCCCAGCTTCTTTGCTTCTCACTGCGTCATCAGCACCATAGTTGTGGTTCATGTCTGCAGCACTTTTTGGAATTACTCATGGAAAGGTGATTTCCTATGTGATAAATGCATTTCCTGTTCCTTGATGACTTTTCAGTATTTGATGTTAGCTGATCAAGAATTTTTTTTTTTTTTTAATGATTGGACACAGTTTTTTTACACTTGTCCTCTGTCAACTTCTAAAATGAAGTTCTTCTAGTAAATACTTTTAATTCTTATTTCATTTTTGTTCAGGTTGAAAGATTCTTTGTACTTTAGCTTTGTGCTGTGGTTTTAATTTTATCTCCAAAAGCCACAGTGAAGTTTAATCACCGCTGTAGCCCTATAAAGAGTTTGAGCCTTCAAGAGCCATTTGGGTCACGAATACTCTGCCTTCATAAGCACAGTTAGTGAGGATTTTGTTTGCTGTATATTCCATCTCTGCTACTTCTGCCACTGCATAAATTTGCACATTTATAATCTATTCAGTGCTATTAGCAAAATGGACTCAACCATTGTCTCTTCTCTGACTCTATCCAAGATTGCTCCTGATCCCACATCTGCACATTTCCTTGATTTGCTGGCTGCTACCTCATAGAATGTATAGGCATGCAGCCATCACCATTTCACCAAAATTCACTCTTCTTCTTATATTCTTATATTATAAATGTCTTATATTATATTATTCTTATATTATAAATGTCATAATTATTTAGTGAAACCTCCAAATCAAAGACTTCATGTCTTTGAGAGTATTCTTTTACCCGTGATATTAGTGAGCAAATCCAATCAATTCTGCCTTGTAAGTGCTATCACATGATAATATTCCACTGAGCCTCACTGGTTTTTTAGTCAGACCTCCCCTATTTTATTCTCATAAAATAGAAGCCTTCTGTCTACACTCCTCTGTTTTCCATTCATTACCCCAATTCACTCCCAAAGTACATTAGACAGATCATTGTGACAGAGCAGATTTGGTCAGAGGTCGTCCAGCTTCTAATATTCAGTAGTGGATTAATACTGTCTGCCTCTCAGGCTTCAGCTCCCCAGCCACACCATAACAGTGTAGCTTCCTAACCGAGATATTTGCTCTCTGACTCGTTTTCCATTGTGGTGGTAATGATGGCTGTGTACGTGAGTGATACTGAGCCCTACAATGCCTATATGGAGCCTTTGAAGCTGCAAATAAGCTAAATTAAAGCTAGTATACTTTGTCTCCGTAAGTTTTTAAAATCCTAGGTGCACTGTGTCTGTCTGTCTGTCTGCCTGTGTCTGTCTGTCTGTGCATCTATCCGTCTCTATAAAAAGCAAGAAGTGTGTGCTGTTTTTGTTTGTTTTTTAGAAACTTTGTAATATTTTATTTAAATTTCACTTTTTAATATTTTATTTATTTTGTATACAATGTTCTATCTGCATGTACACCTGCACGCCAGAAGAAGACACCAGATCTTATTATAGACTGTTGTGAGCTACCATGTGGTTGCTGGGAGTTGAACTCAGGACCTCTGGAAGAGCAGATAGTACCCTTAACCCCTGAGCCACCTCTCCAGCCCCTAAAGTTCATTTTTAATAATTGAGTTTAATAATTATTTTTAAAGGCTGAGTACCACTGAGTTATTTCAGTATTCTAACTTACTTAATATCTGGTGGTACTTAATTGCTGCAAAAGATGTGTCAAATAGTGTGTGTTTTTATATCTTACGTGGAATACTCAAAGAGTAGAAGATGAAAGACATGAAAGTAGGGAGACAAGTGAAAGGAAAGTGTCAGAAAAAAGTAGGAGAGGACAGGGTCAGCACAGGGGAAGATAGAGCATGACATGTTTTCTGTCATATGTGTGACATGAAAGAAGAGCAGCAAGATCAGCAAGGCTAGAGGTAAGGGAGGGTGATGAGGTTGCAGAGACAACCAAAGTACAGTGATATCTATGTAAGGAGCTGTAATATTGAAATCCGTTACTTCTGAGAAGGAGAGAAAATGTAGGCGTTATGTTGGATGCCCGATCAGCTTTAATGGCTCTTGTCATCTCCAAGCTCACTAGAAATAAACTTTTATTCCACAGGGTATCCGCTTCCTTCACTTTAGGAAGGTCTTAATACCATGTTTATTGAAGTATAAGCTACGTAAATAAAATATGCCCACTTTAAACTGTCGGAATCTGTGTGCAGTGGTACATGCCTATAATCCTACCACTCTGGGAGGCAGAGGCAGGTGGATTACTGTGAGTTCGAGGCCAGGCTGGTCTACAAAACGAGTCCAGGACAGCCAAGGCTACACAGAAATCCTGTTTTGAAAAACAAAACAAAACAAAAATGCTTGTAAGCGAGTTTAATATATACATTTCCATGCTTGCTACCACAATTAAGATAGAGAACATTTCCATCTCTCTAAAACATTTTCCTAAAGTCCTTGGTAGTCAACCCCACCTTTCTCACAACTGATAAGCACTGCTTTGATTTCTCTTGTTATATATAGCATTCCGTAATCACACAACCATACATTCAATTCTCTTAGACTAGGGGTTCTCGCACTCAACATTAAACTGGGAGAAGCTTCCGTATTGTTTGTCTGCAAGTCAGTTTCCACTCGTGTTACCTGTGGTCGCCCACATGCAGCTACACCAGGACACTTTAATCTTCCACATGTGGGTGGACAATGGGTTTATTTCAAGGTTTAAGTTCAAGTTAAGTTCAAGTCTTGAAATGGACATATTTTCATTTCTGCTGGGAAAAACTTAGAAATGGACATTGTCAGGGCCATGTGCTGCTTTAAAAGAAGGAGCAGTTGCACATTTCAGTGTGTCAGTGAGCGAGGAGACCAGCAGCTGTTCTGTATCCTCACTAAGACTTGACATCAGTGGTCTTTTTTATTTTAGCCTTTATGGGACATGTATAGGTTTTGTTAATTTCATTTCCCTGCTGACTTTTAGAGTTGAGCATCTTATGTTTAGTGCCATATATTTTTTCTTTTTATTTAGTTCTATTTTTTTTTTTAATTAACAGCCACCTCTAGTGGACCTTGAAGATTTGATTTATTTTTAATTATGTTATATGTGTAAGCATGTGGATGTGTGAGTGTAGGTACTCATAGCGTCCAGAGAGACCGTGATCGCCTGGAGTTGGAGTCCTGTGTAGTCATGAACTGTGTCAGAGGTACTGGACACTGAACTTGGTTCCTCTGCAGAGCAATCCACACTCTTAACCACCGAACCATCGGCCCCGTTCTCAGAGCTAAACCTCAAGCGATAAGTTTCGCTTAGTGATATATTACTATGTTTTCAATATTTAAAGATTTCATAAGTAGCTCTCTCTTTTTTTATCTAATTCCCTTGATGTTAGAGAACCTAATCTATGATATATGTTTTATTACTCCAAACATGCTTTATCTTGGTCATGTTCTGTGTGTATGCTAAAAGAATATATGTTCCATTGTTGTTGGGTGAAATGCTTTGCAAATGTTGGGTTAGGGATGCAGTGGATTTGGGACAGGCATGGTTGTGCATACCTGTAACCCAGCAAGTGGAGGGAGAAGCCAGAGGATCAGAAGCTCAAGATTACCCTCTGCTGCGTAGAGTGAGACACCAGCCTGGACTACATACAACCTGTCAGGAAAAGAAGTAAAGAGAAAAGAAAGGAGGCAACGAAAGAAAATATATCTAGGTGTTTCACTGATAGTGTTTTTCGAGGGTTTTTCCAGAATTTCTGTTTATATAGTGTCTTGATTCAGAATCACTGAAATCTCAGCTCTCATTGTCTCTTCAGGTCTTCCCCCCTCATTTAGTTCTGTCCGTTCTTGTTGCATTATTCAGAACTCTATTATTAGATGTATTTAAAGACTTTATTTCTTCATGAATTTTGAATCCTCTATTACAAGAGTTTAGAATTCTAGGTTATTTTTATTTTTATCTTAAGCCCTTTAAAAATGTCTTCCTGTTATTTTCTAGTTTGCATAATTTCAGATGCAAAGCCTATTATCATTCATTTCTTGTTTCTCTGTATGTCCTATGTTGTCTCCACTACCTCTAAAAACAAACCATATTCTTTATTTTTGAACTGTTTGACTGTGGTTGCACGTAGACTTTGTTCAGAACAGATTACTTCTTTCTTTTGCTACTGGTGGGATTGCTGCTTCTGACTGAGGCTGAGGAAAGAGACTCCAGCTATTTTCAGGTCTCGCAAAGTTGCTACACATCGACATGTACTGCCAGGGGCTGCCTGATTTATGTGCAAGGCTTCCAGGGCTTGACACGGCTCATGAAGGCTTTGGTAGTTACATCTGTTGATTCTACCAACTCAAAGAGATGGTAAAGTTTTACTGCTTAGTGTTCTTAGGGCAATTCTCAAGATTCCCTATCAAGTTGAGTCTTGTTAGGTACATCACAAGTAGGGTTTTTTTTTTTAAATGTAAATTGGAGATAGTAGGAGGTTTTTAGCGTCTTTCTCATGAACTAATGTATTTTGAAAATTATGAAACCTATAAATACTCCAGTTAAATTTCTGATGACGGTAATAAAAAGAATTACAGTAATGTTTTGTAATATTTTATGGCTTATAAAATAATTTCACAGACATTTTCTCATTTAGCTTTATGAGTATTTGTACTGAGTTTTTATAGACTTACCCAAATCAATAAAAACACTGAAAAAAATTACAGTTAGCATTTAATTTTTTTCATTTTGTGTATATGTATATTATATATCTGTGTATATGATCACACGTGTAATTCATGTGGAAGCCAGAGGTCAATTGGTTTTCATCTTTTTGGACTCTTTCTGAACTTGAAGCTCTTTCTTTCAACTAGATGGGCTAGCTGGTGATCACCCATGGTCCCCTGGCTTCATTTCCTTAGCACTGGGGTCCCAGCCATGCACCGCTGTGTCTAACTTTTTATGTGGTTTCTGGGGGCTTGAACCTGGGTCCTCATGCTCACTCACCAAGCATATTTTCAGCTGGGCCATCTTCTCAGCCCCATTTTAAAAAATGAAAAACAAAATAAAACAAAACAGAAGGGTGCTTAAAAACCACAGTGTTTGCTATTTAGCATGTATAAATTGTCAGTTTCAAATGCCATCAGTCTTTTCTAAATAAAATGAGATGACTACCTGAACTTTTTTTTTAATGTTCCTGTTGTGTGAAGGTTGAAAGTGGATTTTTTTTCTATTGAAAGGGTAAATTGATGTGCCCCTGATGTCCTGGTATATATTTTCCCTGTGTGAAGAGTACCCTTGTTCTTGTTACTTTCCTTTGTGTTTTGAAGAGCCACCTGGCTTTCCTTGTTTTGTGACAGGAGTCCTCACTCGAGGACAGCTGGGCCTGGTGGACCTCATCTTCCAGTACATTCACTGTGATCAGGTGGACGAGGCAGTAAACATCCTGAGCAGCATGAACTGGGACACGCTGGGCCAGCAGTGCTTCATCAGCATGAGCGCCATCGTGAACCACCTTCTTAGACAAAGGCTCACTCCCGAGAAAGAAGGTCAGACCTGAAGGCTTTGCGTCAGTGTTCTGAGAGTACATGAACTCCATTTTGAGTCAGTTTTAGGTCCTTTGGGGTGATGTTATTGGTGACTGAAGAACAAAAGTATTAATGCTGTACTAAAGCTGAAAGGATGTCAAAGAATTATTCTCACATGGTACTTCCTGTGTGGCATCTGCCAACAGAGAGGGTACCCTTTCAGCCTGTGCTTATGTTGGAGATCACAGTGTCGTCACATATTTCAGTCATGTATAGAGTCTGTGTAGAATATGCTCAGATTTCAAGCTTTGATCAGAAGGGGCACCAAGCCAAGGTCTTACTCCTCTCTCCCACTAAACACCAATATTTTTCTCACATGTAGTCCTCTGTTTAGGTAGCGGTTTCTTACACTCCCATTTGTGTATATCAGGGTTTTCTGTAGCCCAGGCTGCTCGCCTTGTTTTCATCCTTTGGGTTTGTTCTTGTAATGGACAGCTCCCTTTTGCCTGCTTGAATTCCCCCCTTGTCTTGGTGGTTTTGCTCATAGAAATCCAACATGTTTATTACTGAGGTAGAAAGCACTGAGAAAAAAAAATGTGCATTAGATATGAGAACAAATTTCTACATCTCCCAGTTCTCTAGCATGCATTCATGTGTGGTTATTCTTTAATATGATATAAAATATACCAAAACCAGCAGGGATTTATAAATTTATTTCATATATTTTGCTATTAATATTAACGTTAGGAAATTATGACTAGAAGGTATCCCTAAATAATACAGAAAAGAAAATTAGGGCAGGTCTGTTGCTGGAGAACATTTTCTTTCTTAGTATTTTCAGTATGTTTTAATAAACTTTCTTCTTTTCTATTACATTTCCAAAATAAATAATAAGTTTTTAGATAAAATTCTGTAGTTGACCAGTAAGCTTATGAATCTCTGGGAGGTTTGTATTATGGACCATGGCCTAACTCCCAGAATTCCCCTCTAATATGTGTTTAAGAGTTAACTGAACTTTTTGAAAGTAGCCCAAACTCATCTATGGAAATGTCACTGTTTGTACATGAAGAAAATGCCTACCACAGTGTATGGCCTACTGTTGGTACTTTTGAAAATAAAAAGTGTAACTCTAAGATTTTAGGGAATAAAAAATTTCTGTAGTTTTCCTACAGAGTTATCTCAAGTAGTTTTTTCTTAATATTGATAAGTATTAAGTATTGATTGAGTATGTACTTAAAAATAACAACAAAAGCAGAGAAGCAGAGTTTCCGAAGAAAGTCTATAGTGATATACGTGCTCTCTGTTTAGAGTTTAAAACTATGAAAAGATAAAGTGTGGAGTTTCGTTCAGGACACTGAGAAGTTGTTAGCATCCTAGTGAATTTATGGCCTTAAGTTGTTAGGTTGTAAGAAAGATTATAAAAAATACACAAATGGCCATTGTCAAATTCCTGCTCTTAATGAAGGATTTCTTTCACTGAATCATATTGGGGAGATACGGAAATAAAATCTTTGATGATATTGGGCTATTAAAACAAAATCTGTACATACCCTGGGTTATGTGAATATGTAAACGCTAAGTAGATGTGTGCATTTCCTCTCAAGTAACTACAAAACACGTTTCTAAAACATTCAGAATTCCCCGTTGAGAGTTATTTTATCTGAATCTAACAAATCTGACATTGCAATTCGTTGCCCTCTTATTAGTGAGACCGAGTGCGCTGTGGTTTCTGGCAGTGTTGTCTGTCTGGGAGGCCTCGGGCCCTGCCTTAAACATCAGCTGGGCAGTGTAATGACTCTGTGGCTGCGCTGGGAGGGTGAGTGTTCCATGGGCTTGGACGTTTCAGATGTATGAAGCATGCTGGCAGGGAAACAAGCAATAGTGAGAGAGTCTAGCTTGTTTCCACAATAACAGTGCTATATTCAATTTTAATCTCAATTGACTGCTGCTTTGAAAGAAAATTCCTCCAAAACGCATCTTATTTTACTCTCTAGATTTGAGATTGAAAAAAAAAAAAAAGAAATTACTAAAGCTTAGTCAAGCCCATAGCAATTATTCTGACGAGGTGTTTAATACTTGCAAATCTAAATAGGACTACTACTAAAGGGGTTTCGCTCAATAATGAATTGTTTATTCAACCCAGTGTTGGAAGCAGAAATATCAGAGGAATCTAACTGTGAACTGCAGTATACTCATGCATACTCATGTCTCACCGTATGGTAATTGCTTCCGGGTATTTCTGGGTGGAAGCAAAGCCCCACTGGCATATCTCGGTAAAACTATGAAGTAGACAGAATGTGCCTTGTCTCCTAATCTCTTATCTCCTGTCCTCCCCTATTTGTCAAAATCCCCTTCCCAATCTTCCCCTATCCCACGGTGTGTGCTCTCATGAAAGGACAAAGCACAGACCCTTGTTTATGGCAGGCTTAGGGCAGAGATAGAGATTTTCATTGTTCTCCTAAGGTTGTGTCACAGACGTAGCTTATTCCGATGTACAAGTTTTTATTTGTATTATTTAATTTTTTAAAATTTACATGTTTGTTTTATTTGTGTGTGTGTGTGTGTGTGCATGTGTTTGCACGTGCGTGGGTTTTATAAGTCATGGTGTATGTGTGGAGATCAAAGAACAGCTTGTGGGAGTCAGTTCTCCTCTCTACTGTTTGTGTCCTGGGAACTGAACGCATACCATCAGGCTTGAGAGCAAATGGCTTTACCTGCCGAGTGTCTTACTTCCCCTGCTTGGTAGTTTTTAAGAAAACATTTCCACTGTGCTCATTTCATCTCCCTGTTGAAAAAGTTAGTTTTCTCCTCTCAGCTAGAGAACACATAATGTTGAATACACTGCAAATCGATTTTTCCGGAAACACTAGTTCAAGCTGTGGTACTTGGATGAGTCACTGTTTTAATTACCCATTTGTGGTGAGAGCTTGGTTCTTTATGGATGCCTTCAGTTCTGACAGCTTTTTGTTGCTCAGAGTCATTGTCAGCTTTGTCTCAAGTGAAAGTTTATACACAGGTTTGTTTTTGTACCAGCTGTCATATTTTAATTTCATCTTTCCTGCAACAAGCTCACATTTCATCCAAGTTTGCAGAACCTGACTGACTGCAAACAGGAGGATTCTGTTTAACTGAAGGCGTTTCTCTTGTTTTACTGCTGCTATGTTTGAATTCCACAGCACAGCTCGAGGCAAGCCTTGGAACCTTCTATGCTCCAGCAAGACCACTTCTGGATACAACGATTTTGGAATATAGAGACCCGATCGGCAAATACGCCCGGAGGTTCTTCCACCACTTGCTCAGGTGAATGGCACTGCTGGACGTCCTGGTGTCAGAGCACATACGTAAAGAGATGTCTTTCCCAGACGACTCCAGAGTACAGCCGTTTTCTCACAGTTTTCTCTTTAAAAGGAAAACAAATGTTAGTAGTCTTTACTTGTTCCTGTTTTCCTTTTAAGGAAATATTGAGATTATCTAGGGCTTTTACATCATCAGCAATACACTCTACCCTTTAATATGATAGTAAAAACTATCTCTGTAAAAAAGTCAGTACGGAAATGTTGCCTGAGTTTGTTCCTGGCACTAACAGTCACTGTTGTTTAAAGCGGATGCAGCCCTCTGCGTGTGCTGTGGGCTTGCACTCTTCCACAGCTGCTCAGGAGACTGCCCCACTGTTCCCGCACATGCTGTGGTAGCTGTTAGCTGCATGTGACGCATTTTCCTACCTTGTGTACAATAAATGCCCTTCCAACTTTAGGGATTCTTTGACAGATTTGGTAAGATGCCACATATTTCTCTGAGAAAAATATACAAGTTGGAGGACAAGTGTATACTCGTAGGGAAGGATAGAAGGAAGATGAAAATCAGGATAGAATGATCCGGGACAGATACATGCTCTAATAACTAGCACTAACGTCAGGTAAACAGTATGAACATAGCGTTGTGCCCTGGAATGCAAAGAATCGTAGTAGTGGACAGGTGCATGGGCTGCCAGATGCACCGGTCAAGTTCCCGATGAGCTTAGGATGGACGCTGTGTGCCAGGGTCAAGCAACGATTATTTCTCTTTCAGTTGTATAGGTAGACCTACTGTATTCTGTATATGAAAATGTTTTATAATAGAATTTTGAATTCTTTTTACAAAAAGGAAGGATTGTCTGAAGGAATTGATTAAAAGTAAAATCTTACTAATAATGTACTTGCTATAGGGCTGTGCAGTGCTTTCAAAGAGCTTAATATACTCGTATTTTTATCAGAATGACTTTGTAAAGAGAGTATTATGTCATGAAATAATAAACTAAGGCTTATATGATCAGCAGCTTATTTAGATGAACCACAGGAGGTAACAGATCTTGGGCTAGTTTCTCCTGTTCTTTACTCTGTCTGAAGAGTGAACACAGCGACACTTACTGTCACTGTTTTTCAGACACTACCTTCCAGATAACTGTGAGCTGTCATTTGTATGAGACTAGGCTGATTGATAGCTGTTCAGCTGGCCTAAAAGGGGGTGGTGCTCGGATTGGTCAAGCTCTAGGAGGTACGCTTTTGTACAGACATTTGTGCTCCATAATTAATTTTATCTATATGTAAAGTGGTACTTTGAACTCTACGCGGCAGTGAGACCATTGGCCAATCATGTTTTTGGAAGCCAGGAACTGTTAATGTACTGTGAGGGCCCTTAGCTGTCATTGAGCCTTGCCTCTGTCTGAGCGCTGTCGGCCTACTTCAAGGCACTATTCGCCCTAAGTGTGGCAGTCCTCATGCGCATGCAGAGCCTAAAACATCGGGCCGAAGCCACATGCACTTGCTGAACTTCGGCCTTTGCTTTCATTGCTGTTTTCTTTTCTTGTTTCTAGGGAACATCGGCGAGCTGACCTCTGGCCTAAAGGGCTCAAAAAGATTGACACGAATAAGAACTTTTAAAAGTGTATGTGTGCTAGCCTCACCGGGCTTTTGGGATTTTTGACTTTAATGCAGTTCTCTGTATTTTTGCAACCTCTGGCCTAGGAAGCTCACCTTCTGTAAATGTGAATTTTGTTCCTTGTTGGTCTTTCTCAGTGTTGTTTTAAATTTGGGGTTCTGTGATGGGTGACTCTCGTTGCTGTCATCAGTATCACATTCAGAATTCTCTGTGTGGTCATGTCAGATGGTTACCTTGGGGAATGCTGACTTATTTCTAATGTTTCTGTTTTGGACACTTTCGGTTACCATGAAATTTACTAGTTTCTCTTTCGGTAGTATGCTATACAGGGCATTGTGAGAGAGAAATGTATGTTAGTAGAAACTGAATGGGAGAGGCTAAGTTGGAAACATCGTTTTGTTTAATCGGTTACTGAGAAGTTTTATCTGGGGGAGATCAAACAAGTCAAATGCCTTTTTTTTTAAAAAAAAAAAAAAAAAGGATGTACTAGGGTGCTAGGGTTGTATTAGTGCCTCTGCTTTGGCTAGTCATTGTTCTTATACTCCCTAAAAACTTAAGTAAAGAATTAAGGCCATTTCACATCAAGAAAGGAGCCATGTAGACTGGGGCCAGCTGAAGTCGCTCAGGTGGGAACCGGGTGGGTTCTTGATGAGACTGGAATGCTGCACTCTCTTTGCTCTGATCCAGCCACAGAACCTGAGGTCACAGTCTGACGTTTGTGTGGTTGTTAAAACAAATGTTTGTGTATAATTTGGGTTTTGTTCTTGTTAGAGAACATTTCTCTGGACATCTTTCTGTGTCTGTTGGCCTTTCTCCAAATTCAAATATATCTAATAAGGCTTGCTTCTCATATCTTTCTTGAGAACTCACTCTTTGTCTGTGTTCAAAATTGCTGGGTTTCAAAAAGAAATGCTCTCTGATAGTATAAACCATTCAATAAAGTGTTTGTTTTAATAAAATTAAAGAAATAATAATAGTCTGACTTATAAAAATTGTTAAGCTGCAGGGCACTTTCAGAAAAACAAAAACAACAAATGTAGCTCTGCCTGAAATATGCTTAGAAAGTAGTTATTCACCTTTCACCTCTGTGAAATTGAATAGTCTCTAGAGCACTTAGCAGGAATCCATTACCAAATAAGAGCTTTTCATCATAAACAAATAGAAGCTGTGATCGGAACAAGTAAATACTGGTGAAATGAAAGAGCAAACATTTCACAGGAACGTGGCCCATACGAAGCTTATTTCATTAGTGTGGAGCTAGAATGATTTATAAAGTTAATGATTTATTTCAATGAATTTTCTCCTCACACATGAGGCCATTGTGTTCTGAAACAGGGTAATAATATGATTGTGACATAAAGGCAAGTGCTTTTGAAGTGCTTATAAGATAGTAAGGCAAAGGTTGAGGAAGGAGACTATTATCTAGAAATAGAAATATAATATTTGTTGTGTTTTGTAGAGGATTGTAAGAATATATATGTATGTTTTTCTTTACATTCCACACAAAGAATCAAAATGAATCGATGTAGGTAGGGATAAAGAACTGGATAGATGTATAACAATTATAAAGTCGTGTTAGAGCCTACATAGTTCATGTACATTCTGTCAACTTAGCTGTAAATTTGGAAACTTTTTTAATAGAATGTGTGGAGTATATATTGCGTTAGAGTCTGTCTTCATGCTAATAATTCAGGAGGAAGGAAGAGCCAACCATGGATTTTGAATCAAAATAAATCAAATCTTACTTCCTTCTGTTTCTCGTTTGATATTTATCACAGCAACAAAAAAACAAAACGTGGGGCAGGACAGAGAGCTCAGTAGTAAAGAGCATACAGGTCTTGGAGAGGTCTTGAGTTCAAGTCTTAGTGCCTGCATCAGTTGACTAATAACCACCTTTAATCCCTGGGGATCCGATGCCTTCTTCTGCCCTCCATGGGGACATGCAAACACACAGACAGAAACATGCACATATATGCACAAAAAAAGATAATTCTTTTTTTTTTTTAAACCTTAATATATGCTGCTGAAGTAAAGCCCAAACTTTCTGCCTGTGTTGCTTATCTGCTCAATTATGATGTCGGAAAACTGCAGTGTTAAAATGAAAGCACACAAGCAACTAAAACAATGATGACGGGCTGAGGCGACGGCTTCGTATTTAAGAGTACTTGTTTTTCTTTTACAGAGGGCCCAGGTTCCATTCCCAGTACCCACTGATGACTCTGGTTCCAGAGGATTCAATGCCTTCTTCTGAAAGGACCAGGCCTGACTCCCTCCCCCCAAAAGTCATCAGTCCCAGAAACTAGGCTATAGGTCACCAATTCTAGGAATAAGAAAACCATAAAATTCCCTATCCAAAGAATATTCTGGAGGTAACCACAAGAATGGGAAGGTATCTTATCCCAGGGTGGGACATTTCTGCTGGGCAGCCCAGTGATGGTCTTATAGACCTGAGGTCTATAGATAGCTTACTCAATGTTAGTTATTAGGTAACCAATCACTCTGTAACAAACCTGCCCCTGCTGAATGTCATCCAATCCTGTAACTGCTAATCTGGGAATTCTGGTTTCTTGCGCAAACTCCAAATGAAAACCCTGCCAAGTAGCTGCTCGGGGCTCTCCTCTCTGATCCACTATGTTGGTGACAGTAGAGTGGCAAAGCTTAAGCCCGAATAAAGCTCTTTGCTCTTGCATAAGTGGTCCAGCTCCTGGTGGTCTCTGGGGACCTTGAGATCTGGGTGTAACAGGACCAAGCATGCCTGACATGCGTGCAGGCACAGCACTCACACAGAAGAGAGTAAATCTAATTAAAGAAAAGAAACCCTTAGACTGCTTAACTATTAACAGAGAAACAATTGTAAAGGCGGGATTTATTTTTGTTTTTGAGGCACCTCTGGTCTCTGAGACTTCACAATCTTTTTGCTTCAGGCTCCTTTGAATCTATAACATCCAACATAAGTTCTCTAAGATAAGATTTCCTGCTTAGTGAGGTCTAGGTTCCCCAAGCCCGAGTGGACGGTTCTGGGGTGTCAGTGGTGAGTTAGGAGGAGTGACACACAAAAAGGCGGTGTGGCTTCAGACACATTCTCAGCAGCACAGTCTGCTGACTTGAGCATGCACAACCATCGTCACCCTGGTACTAGGATAAACCTGTCATGACAAAACTTGTTTATGGCAGGGTTAGGCAACTGAGGACCTCAGGTCATTCAAGGGCGCTCCTCAGAATTAAGCCATTGCTGAGCAAATGTTGCCCAATGTCTGCCCAAGGCCATTTTCTCTTAGCAGACCTGCAGTCAGAACTTCTTAAAGCCATAAAGATGTTGATCTGTGTTTAGTCTTTTCTTTAGGAAGAAATAATTGTTACCCAGAGGATGGCAGTCCTACAAG